GGCGGAGGCAAAGGGCAGGGGCCTCTGGGGCACGGGGGACGGGGGCGGCTGCGCGGGCGTGCTGCCGCAGGCCGGCTGGAAGGGCGCCGGCGAGGGTGGGTGGGACGCCGGGCCAATTTCGGGGCTGTGTGGCCGGCCGCCGCCGGCGCGCGCCTCGGACGCGGCGCGCCGCTCGCGCAGGGAGGCGAAGGAGGCCCCGCCCTCGCCGTCGCACACGCTTGCGGACAGCGCGCACAGCGCCCGCGGGTGGAGCTGTGAGTCATTCTCCGCCATTGCCGCCGCGTCTGCAGCTGCAGCAACGTCTGCCGCAGCCGCGGCCGCCGCCGAGTCGGGTGGCTGCGCGGGAGCGGGAGCGGCGTGCTGGGCGAGCATGTGGCGGCGCGTCGCGGCGGCGGCGGCGACTGCGGCGATGAACGCCAGGCAGACCGCGCCGGCGGTTGCACCTGCAGGTAATGGGTGGTGAGGCAGCCAGCCGGTCACAGCATGTGATGAATCATGCCGCCGATCAGAGACGACAACCATCCAAATACCACGCCAGGACACAATCTCCAAACAAGCAGCTCCTGCACTCACCGACGGCGATGGCGACCGTCTGGCGCGCGGCTGCCTGGCTGGAGCAGGTGCGGCCGAGGCCGGTCATGCGCGTGCGCACGGTCGTGCTGGAGGGCAGCGCGGGCAGCTGCCCGCACATCTGCTGGTTCCCTTCCAGGTCCAGGACACTGCCATGTCGGGGGTGAGTTTGAGATGCAGTGGTGCGTGTGAGAGTGGGTGTGTACAGTTGCCTTGTGTTGACATGCGGTGTGTGCGCTTGTGCTGGCTCGCTTGTCCGTGTGTGCTGTGCATTATGTGTGTGTGTGTGTGTGTGTGTGTGTGTGTGTTCGTGTACCGTGTGTGTGTCTGGGGGGGGGGTGGAGAGCGGGTGGGCAAGAAGAGAGAAAGGGGTGCACAGCGCCAGGGGACGCCTTCAGGTGTGGCAAGGCTGTTGCGTACTTGCGCGGCGGCGCAGCGCGGCATGCAGGTGTGGCCAGCGAACCTCAACAGCAAAATTGCAAAGACAAGTTGCAGCCGCGTGGGCGCAAAAGCAAGCTCTTACAGTGCATGCGGCGCCCTCAGCCCACCTCGCCACGCTGACAGGAAAAAATGATGATGCTGCACGGGTGCCCCCCCACCTACTAGGTAGTACCCCTGCCCCCACCTGAGGTCCGGGAATCGCTCCGCGAGCGCTGGGGACACGCCGCCCTCCAGTGCATTGCCGCTGAGGGTCACCTGCCGCACGCCCCTCGGCAGCGCCGCGTCGGCCAGGCTGCCGTTGAGGCGGTTGTTGTCCAGCTGCAGCACGCGCAGGCTGGGGGCGGCCGCCCAGGAGGTGGGCAGGCTGCCCTCCAGGGCGTTGCCCTGCAGGCTCCTGCTCGCGCGGGTGGTTGGGCCAGACAAGAGGGCGGGTGTGGCAAGGCGGATGTTGTTGAGTGACCCTGCGTGCAAGCATGCGCCCCACTTACCAACCCGAAACGGTGGGGGAGAAGAGGCTGCGTTCCCAATACTCCTATGTGTCCCCGCCTTGCTGCCCCAACCATGTGTCCTGAAAAGTCTATGCCCTCGACGAGCCGCTCACAGGACACGCAGCAAAGGGAGCGCCCCCCAGGACTCGGGCAGGGTGCCGCCAATCCCGCCGTTGCCGGACGCGTCCACCGTGTCCAGCGCCGGCAGAGCGCCGCCGCCCCAGGCGTCGGGCAGGGTGCCGGCGAGACGGTTATGGGAGACGTCCACGACGGCCAGCCGCGGCTGGCGCGACCACTCGGTGGGGAGGGTGCCTGGGGGGGAGACAATGCACGAGGAAGTAATCAATTCCCGTGCTCGCTGCTGCTGCACGCTCATTCGTAATGCCGAGCAGGCGCGGGCCAGCGGCCGCCTCCACTTCCCAACAGCAAGCGGCGCGCGGCTACAGCCGGCCCAGCGAGACAACTTCAAACCCGTCTTGTCGGGTCGGCCCAGCCCCAACGCATTCCACAGAGCAGAGGGGTACGCCCTTCATCACCTGTCAGATTGTTGCCCGCAAGGCGGATCTCTGCCAGCCGCTCCACGCCCTCCAGGCCGCCGCCCAATGTGCCCCCCAGCGCCCGCCCGTCCAGCCGCAGCGCCACCACGCGGTCGTCCGCATCGCAGGCGATGCCGCCCCAGGGCGCCGTGGCACTGCAGGGGTTGGTGTCTGGCTGCCAGGCGGCGAGGGCGCCCTCTGGGTCTGACAGGTTGGCCTTGAAGGACAGCAGCGCCTCGGCTGGGGTTGGGGGAAGCAGATTAGGGATTGAATGGAGCGGAAAACACATGTGATTCCAGGGATTGAATGGAGGCTGGGGTGTGTTTGAAGTGCATGGACGCTGCCGTTGCAAGCTTGGCCCCCTTTCCAGCTGGAGTGCTGCCACGCGCCTCGTGCTTTGCGCACCGTCCGCGTCCCAAGGGCAGGAGCTGTGCAGCCCAGTGTCGCCGCCCGCGACGGCGCCGCCCACGCCGGCCGGCACCTCGCCGCACACGCCACCATTGCCGGCAACTTGGAGGGAGTGGAGCGGGATGAAGCGCCAGGTCAGCGGAATCTTGCCGCTCAGCTGGTTGGCCCCCACCGCCCTGCGGACACCGGGAAGCAACAGATTTGGTGGTTTCAGAATGCAACTGGCAGTGGCTGGCGCACTCAGATGAGGCAGTGATGCACTTGCCAAGCAGCAGCTCATGTGGTTGGGGCGTGGGAGGAGCTGCCCTGGCAGCGCCCTTGTCTGACACAGCGCATGCATTTGATGCTTCACTGCGAGCCACTCACAGCGCCTGCAGGGAGGTGAGGTTGGCCCACTGGTCGGGCAGCGCGCCAGTGATGGAGTTGTTTGTCATGTTTGCGGCGCGCAGGGAATCCATGCCGCCAGCCCAATCCCAGGGCAGGGCGCCGCCCAGTCGGTTGTTGGAGAGATCCCTTAGGGTTGAGGGGCCGGTGAGAGTTGGTAAGGCGAGGCAAGCTTGATGTCCATGTTGCAGGTTTTGGAGCCTGGAGGAAGGCTTGGCCGCTGAGCAAACCCTTGCGTAAGGCGTCGGATGAATGCTCTACGCATTGGTAGCCAATAAGACGGCTGGCCAGGCAAAAGTGCTTCCCAGGAAGCTGCACCCTGCGCGCCCGCTCACAGCTGCAGCAGTTGCGTCTGTGCCGACCAGGAGGCTGGCAGGCTGCCCTCAAGGGAGTTGTTGCGCAGCGACAGCGACGACAGGAAGGCGAGCCGGCCCCAGGACTCGGGCAGCGATGACGTCAGCTGGTTGTGGGACAAGTCAAGCACCTGGGGAAGGAGAGGTGTGCGCCCGTCAGCACAGCAACATGCGAGGGGTGTTGTATTTGGCAGGGCAAATATCGCCACCCAAATATATATGTGGCCCAAAGGTTGGAAACCGCAGGAGCGAAGAGGTGTTAAGCTGCTCAGCGGGTCATGGTTAGCGGAGACTAATAGCTTGGGAAACCTGGGCCCGCCTCACCTCAATCATGGCCATGCCCGACCATGCGGCCGGCAGCGTTCCAGTCAGCGCATTGCAGCTCGCGTCCAGGTGCTGAAGTGAGCCCAGGCTCCCCAGCGCAGCTGGCAGCGTGCCGTTCAGTGCGTTGGAGCTGACATCAAGATAATCCAGAAAGCGCAGCCCAGCCCAGGCAGCTGGTAGTCCGCCGGACACGCTGTTGTTGTGAAGGTCGCTGCAGTTGTGCAGATGGTTGAATGATGGACGATGAAGGGAGACGGCATCCGGAACGGAGCGTGCCTGGGCCAGACAGATTCCGCATTGTATTGGAGGGACCAGCCCCGCGACAATACATGGCACGACGAGTGATGCACTCTGCCCGCCGAACATTGAGTGCAGGGCTCACATGGAACGCAGCGTCTCGACGTCGGCCAGGCTGGCGCCCAGCTGGCCCCCAAGCCCCTTGCCGCTCAGGTCCAGCCCAACAACGCTGCCCGCAGGCGCGTCGCACTCAATCCCTGGCCATGGGCGCGCGTGGCCTGCCGAGTCGCCGCAGGGGTGGGAGCCAGGGGCCCAGGTGGCGAGGGCATCATGGGGGTCTGACAGGGCGGCCGCGAACTCGAGTAGCGCGTCGCCTGCGGGAGCATGGGCGTTGAGGGTGTTGGCATGCATGCGCATGCGCAGCATGAGGGCGCGCATGGGCGCATGTGCTGATCTCAAGCACTCACACCCTTGTGCAGAGGGAGCCGCATGCTAGGAAGCAAATGCATGCACCTGCTGGGCGCGTCCGTCTTGCATGCCTGCACACCTTGAGGGTCAAAAAACGCCTTGGCTGGGAGCGCCGCTGTGCCCGCAGCCTCCAAGGCCTGAACCTCCTCCAAGATGCGCGACAATGCAGGCGCGATGCATGCAGCGCCGCGCCAGAGCAGCAGCCAGCAGAGCCATTGGCATGCCAGCAGTGGTACGACACTCGCAGTGAGTCGGCGAGTTCGGCGGGACTTGCAGCGCTGCGCCGCTGCTGGAGCCGCCCAAGACATTCCCATTGATTCTTTGATGCTTGTTGAGCTGTTTCAAAGGGGACACGTGCACATATGATGCCCCAACGCTGATCTATGGACCGCAGCTGCGCAAATGACCACGAAACACCATGTACAGTAATTGAAAGCGCAGGATAGATATCTTGGCATTCACAGAGTGAGAATTCATACATGTATGCTCACAAAAGGACTGCTCATCTTCCTCAACTGATCTGACTGTGACAGGCGGGGTTGAGGTACTCTGCTCATCTGCGTCATATAGGAGCACGCTTGCCGAAGGATTTGTAATTCTCCGGCAACCAACATCCCAGAACCTGGCAACCAACATCCCAGAAGCACCCACGCCCCTCCCAGCGAGTCGCAGGCCACCATGCCCCCCCAGGCGGCCGAAGCCAGCTGCAGTGACGCCCCGCCTGTCGACGCCGCGCTGGCGGTGCTGCTGCAGCTCTGCCCTACGGCGCTCCTGGCATTTGATGATGGCACCAGCCTGCCAGCCAGCCGCGAGCTGCTCATGATTGCGTCGCCCATGCTCCACGACATGCTGACCTCCAGCCAGCTCGACGCTGGGCCAGGCGGCACCGTCGTTATCCCGCTCCCCGGCGACAAGCGTGAGGAATGGCTGCTGGTGCTGCCGCACATTTACCCGTGGGAACCCCAGGTCACGTGGGAGAGCGTGGAGCCCCTGATCCAGCTGTGCCTCAAGTACAACCTGAGGGGCCTGCGGGCGCCGCTGGACAGGTTCCTGTCTGTGGCCGCGGCTTCCGTCAGCAAGCTGCGACAGGCCAAGTCCTGCCGATCCCGCTGCCAAGCGACCCCCTGAGCATCGCGGCGGTGGCGCACGCGATTGCGGTGGGGCAGTGGTCGGTGTGGCGGTGGCTGGAGCTGGCGCCGCACTGCAGGCTCGGCGCGACCTTGGAGACGTTCTGTGAGCTGATCGTAGCATTCCAGCAGGCTGTGCCGCACGAGTTTGACCTGGGCCTCGCAGCGCAGCCACTGGCGGTGAAGCTGGCCAGAAAACTCTCCGTTTTGACAACAAGCACTTGTGGCCGCTGACGTGTTGATATCGATGCCTCCTCGTCTGGAGTTTATCAATTTTGATTGATTGCCATTGCCACCGCTTGCGGCGCCTTGCGCAGCCGGCAATGGCTATGCACCCATATATGCGCCTTTGGATTGTCGCTCATTCTCAGCCTTGCTTTAGCTCACGTGCATGCTCACAGACGCATTGGGCTGCTCAAAGGCCACCACAACACTGAGAGGAGCAGCGTATTCCTTCCTACCTGACCAGACAGTGCGCGCACTGAGCATGCAGACACAGCTTAGCACGCACAGACACTCATGCATACACGCAACCGGCACGCGTAGCTGCCACCCAATTTGTATGGTTACAGGTTGCACATTTCAGCGGGTTTGTTGTGCTTTTTATTGCAGCCAAATCAACCTTTCACCCTGCTGGTGCAGGGGCCAGGGCGTATGTTGTTTCTGCGGTGTTCATGGCTCTGGATCAAAGAGCAACCATGTCCAGCTGGCAATACGCGGATGCAACCAATTTGGGCTCCTCAACGGCCATCACGCCCCGCTGCGGGTGCTATGATAAACCTGGCCTCAATCGCCGCTTGGAAATGTACCGGAGGCTGGTCAGTTGATAACATCATACCTGAATGGGCTTTTCAAGCGGCGGGGGAGGGGGGGGGCTGAGAGTTCGCGCTGGCGGCGGGGCGCACGGGGGCCAGCGGAGGGCACCTGATGGACCTGGTGAACTGCCTCTGTACTTCTCAGCCTGGAGCACAGCTATAACATAACGGATTTTCACAATGCATCTTCACATTGAATAAAAACCATCAGCTATGACGTTTCTTGGAAAGATCATGAAAGGCCGCCGAGGTCGTGCCCTTGTCATATCCGTTCGTGGCACGGACGGAGCGCAGTCTGAGCACGGCCAACGGCAGCCCAGGTTGTCATTGACATCTTGATTCTTTCTGATCTTCGCCCATCACAAGTTATTCCTGTTACTCACAAGCCATTCATCCAGCCATTATGTCATCTACCGCTCCTCAGGCTGAGGCTCAGCCTGTAGACGCCGCTCTGTCCAAGATGTTAGGGCTCTGCCCCAGCGCACTGCTCAGATTTGACGACGGCACCAGCCTGAAAGTCAGCCGCGAGCTGCTTATGATCGCATCGCCCACGCTGCTCGACATGCTGACCTGCACGCAGCTCGACACCGAGCCAGGCGGCGCCCCTATCATCCCCCTCCCCGGCGACAAGCGCGAGGACTGGCTGCTGGCGCTGCCATTCCTCTACCACCGCGACCCTGGGGTCACGAGGGAGAGCGTGGAGCCCCTCACCCAGCTGTGCATCAAGTACGACCTCCAGGGCCTGCGTCCCTACCTGGACAAGTTCCTGGCAGCGTCAGCTGCCACCGTCAGGGAGCAGCTGGTTGCTGGTGTCCCCAGATGTGAGCTGGTCGACAAAATACCCAGCATCACGGCGGTGGGCCACGCAAGCGCGGTTGGGCAGTGGTCGGTGTGGCGGTGGCTGGTACTGGCTGGGCACTGCAAGCTCAGTGCGAGCGTGGAGGCGTTCTGCCAGCTGATTGTGGAAAATAGGCTTGCGGTCCCGGACGAGTTTGACCTGGGGCTTGCAGGGCAGCCACTGGCAGTCAAGCTGGCCCGCGAGGTTTCCAGGGACCATAAGTGCAAATATTGTGGTTGCATGCAATAGGCAGCATTCTCAAGGACATGCCACTATGCCCCTTGACGCCACTATGCCCCTTGAGTCCCCTCACCCCCTTTGAGTTGCGTGTCCACGGCGCTGTTTGCGAGCATGGGCGCTGGGCTGAGCAGCCTGGTCTTACCACGGCCTCTTGGTGTGTTTCTGTGTCCACAGTCGCGGTTCCCAGCATCGCCAAAAGCATGCACACCAACCCTTCGAAACAACGTTCGCATGATGTTCACGATTGCGGGTGCAAGGCGGATCTGCTACCACCTGCCTGAGCTGCTCTACACACCGCAGTTGCTTGCGTTTTGCATTTGCATCAGCGTCACACAGCCGTTGCATTCAGCAATACACGCCCCGGAGCATTAGTGGTGTTCCAATCGCATCACACACGCTCAAGTGTGTGGCTTTCCAGAAGTTGCCAAGCGTACAGCATTGCGCCGCGCCATTTGTCAGCCACATCCATAACGATGTCACGTACCCCGTGGCGTACTGAACCTGATGTCAGCTCCTGGGCCGGCCTGTTCTATGTTAGCCTTGCACAATGCAGCACATGCCCGACTTGAGTGCAGGCACCCCATGCTGATCTGTACTGTACAACAATACGTTGATCAACCAGAGGTTAGATCCAGTTGTAAGAACCAATCAGTTCCAGGAACAAGAGTTAATGCATGGACTAACCGCAACCCAGCTGGTGCAGTCAACTGCCGGAATACGGTATGGTGGTCCAAATAGGGCAATGACACGGTAGCAAATTCAACGACAGGTGCATGAAACGTACGGTTGCCTCTAAATGTGCCAGTGGGGGCAAGGGGAGACAGCGATGGTGCAGAGCCTGCAAGGCCTTTGAAGTCGCTTCTGCAGCCCCGGCACCATCAATCCCGCAGCGACCCTCATTTGTTGCACGCTTCCATAAATCAACAGCCACGTGACCCACCCTGAACACCAGCTCTGAGCATGCTGCCCAGCACGAGTCTTGCGCTGCATCGTTTTGTTACTTTTCCCGCCGCTCGGGGCGCTCCCCAAACATGGGCACGCCCCACCGCACCCACGCCTTGCCGGACTCAAAGAACCACCCCCGCGCCCCCGGCCGCAGTGCGGGCGCCACGTAAACCTGCGGATCGACCTCCATGCGCGGCGCCGCGTGCGCCAGCCACAGCGGCATGGACTCGACGGCGGCGTCGAAGCGCAGGCTGCAGCGGTGGGCGAAGAAGAAGATCGCAGGCAGCAGGCAGAGGGCCAGGACGCCCTGGATGTTGGCCTTCTTGAGGAGGAAGTTGCAGGCGGTGAACACCACAAACAGAGCCAGGCACCAGTTGATGATCTGAATTGGGAGGGGGCGGCGGGGTGTTGAGCAGTTTGCAGCACATTGGTTTGAAAAGCCGCCAAACACATCAGACGGAGTTTGCCCTCAAATCACATCATCCTGCCACATGCCATGCTGCCTTTCTTCCAGCACAAGCACCGAAGTCTCCCTTGTGAATTTTAAGAACCCAGCCGGCCAGCCAGCCAGCCAGCCAGCCAGCCACCCACCCCCCATTCCGCACCCCTAACCTTGAAATAGAGGGTCCACATGCGCCCGCCGCTCTCATAGCACCTCACGCACACGTATATGATCTGATAGCGCCACACCACCCAGGACGTGGCCATGTAGGCCAGGGCAAATGGCGTCATCAGCGGCGCCACGACGCTGAAGGCGACGCCGATCAAAAGGATCAGCAACACCAGTCCGGGCTCGCGGCCATACCTGCCCAGGGGTTGAAACGGCGTTTTCATCAGATTGTTCGTGTGTAAAGCGATGCATCTAATACAGCGTCCACCTGCCGCAAGTGGCGCCTCCCTGACAGGACCCGTAGGTTTTAACGGGGGGAGGCGGCTAGTACTAGTGAGCTGCACGGAATCAGTGCTGCTCATGAGAACGAGGGCCCCGTGGCGGGGGGTTGTACACGTGGGTATCGGCCTGCCGGCAGCCAGGCCGTGTGCCGCTGCCGCCAATTGTGCGTGACGATCCCACCTTATGGATGCGGGGTACGTGATGAAGGCCCGGTAGCGCTCCGTCGCGGCGTGGCCGACGCCGGTGCAGCCCGTGAAGAGCATCTGGCCAATCCAGCGCCACATGCCGCCGTGGGGCATGATGAGCCTGTGGGGCCGGCATTGGGGGAGGTGGCTGGTGTGGTCGGGCTCTGGTGGGGCTGGGCCATGTTACGCCTGGGGTTGGCGCTTGCTCAACAGCACCACACCACACACGCACACATACACACACAAAACAACACACACACACTCACTCTCACACACACACGCGCGCGCACACATGTGCGCACACAGACACACACTCGTGCATCAGCTATAGCGTGATCACCGTCGGTTTACACAAACACAAGCACACCGTCCCACCTGAACATGTTCATGAGGAAGGCCCTCATGATGACGTAATTGAGGAAGAAGTTGGAGCTGTTGGGGAAGGAGCGGCCCAGCACCTGGGGCCAAGCCTCGGGGCTCTCCATCAGCACCTGCACCTGGCTGAGCCGCCATGAGCAGGTTGGGTGCGGGTGCAACACCCGTAAAATGCTGGCGTGAACCGAGGATGCTTGCAGCTCTCTCAAGCTCCCCAGGCATGGGGCCTAAAAGCAAATCTGTGTCCAGGAAATTCAAGCCTGACCCGTCCCACAGACTCACCCACATTCCTTGCTCGTCAGGCCCCGTCCCGTAACATCATATGTCCATCAAGATGCCAACCCCACCCCACCCC